TCCGAGACGTTCGACAGGTATTTTGGACATAACTGGTTGGATGATACTTGCTTTTACGGCATGTTTAACATTGATTTGCGATAGACCGAAGTAGTCGACGCCACCCAAGTATTGCATACTTCATATTTAAAACGGAGCGCAAATAGTCTATACCTTGATAAAAATGCTTTTGACCGAGGATGCCGAGCCGACAGGGCATGACGGGCATCGAGTAAAATTGAGTGCTTAGTATCAAACTCGGTATTCACCAAGCGAACAATCCAGCCGATGGAACGAATGATACCAGCGGGACCAATAAAGGACAGTATGTGGCAATTTTACTACTATTCTTGCTAGCAGTGTGTATTTTTTAATTCCACGGGGAAGGATTACACCTGAGCAAGATGGATTAGTTTGTTTTCTGCAATATCAAATTCAATGGGCTCTGTGATCCGTAGGACCTTACCGCAAAAATGACCATGTGAAGGCAGCATCCTCAACATAAACGCAACAACTCTTTTATACCTCGTAAAAAAACTGAACCTTTCCCAATTAAAGCCGTGTTCGAGATGTTTGATGGATGTGACATCGGAGACAAAGGAAGATGATGTCTCCAAGCAATTATCGACATCACAAGAAGGACCCTTCAAAGGAATTATTGATTACACGCTCGTCGCGCATAAACTGCCAATCAGCAGTCCTGAGAATGCTTAGACCAATAGCCCAGCTGCTATCCTTGAGGACTTCCGAAGAAATCTCAAGGGTAACGGTATCAGTTGGATTGTCGACGCTACGCTCAAAACATGGTGCCACTCATCCATAGTGTTCGATTCGAGGATTTTGCCGACTCGAATAGCGACGATGAAAGATAATTTGTCATTCGAGTTTGGTCAATGCAAAACCGTAGTACTTTCTGTCCACACGTAGACATGATTAATATTAACGGTAAACGCTCCTAAAGATGATTAACTATATCATCTTTCAGTCATGTGGCAAGCAGAGCAGCTTTTAGGTCTAGCTTAGGCATAGATTGCACTTTCATCGGCGCGAAGCGAGCTTTACCAAAGATGAAGAATATCTGAGTTTTGTTGAAACTCGAGTCTCGCGCATGTAAAAAACCGCACAGAAAATGTCCTGTGAACTATAACCAAACATGTGAAGCTCAATTTAACCGACAGGTTCTAAGAAATAACAGCAGCAAATAGTCAGTTGCCCTAACAGCGGGAAAACAGAATGACATTCGAAAAACTTGATCCTGATGTCTTCCAGTAATTCGTCATCTCAACCTTGGCCACTGATTTTCCAAAATCTTTAAGTGAAAGACGAGCATTAACTGTGTATTGAGCTACGAACCCAACAGGGTCAAACGCAGAAAAAAGAAGAAACTCGAGACGGTTTGATAAGTTATTGCCTTATCGAGAGAGGACAATCCACACCTCTGCTAACAGCCAATGTGTCTTTCACATGGTCCCGTTTAAGACCTAAGACGTCTGATGGTTGTTCGGCACCGTTACAAATTTCTTTGATGAACGAAGACGGGGTTTCGCAATCCTCGGGGTTCATTATTAAAGTAATTTCATCGGCATTACTGACAAATCAAATTTAGTCAGATTGAATCCTCCCAATTTAAGTAACGAAATCAAAGCACGGCTAATTTTGATTGCATAGGTAACGTTCTCGGACGAATCGAAGTATATTATAAAAACATTATAATTTTCTGTTTTTCGCAAGGCTAAATCAGCTCATGTAGGCGAATTCCGTGCACCGAGTATATAGCAAGTGTACTGGGGCAACACCACATCGGAAGTGGTATCCTCCCGCCACCAAGTGGTTCGGGTTGGCAGAAAAGGGTGCGTAGTCTTCGTTGACTGGCTGATAACCAGTATGAGCATTATTGACAAAATGCGGAACGTGTTGAGGATTAACTGGTGGAGAAATAAAATACACAGTCTCACCACTAGTATACGGGACGGCTGTGTTACACGGTGGGTCAACAGTTGTCACGTTAGAAAAAATGTTTCCAGTATTACAAAATTGAACGGGCGTGACAATTGGAGTTGTAGCTGCCAATCGCCATAAGTTTGCATCACTTGAATACTAATCGATGATAATAGATGACACCGTATGCGGTACAAAGAGAATACGTTGCGTCTGGACTGGCGATGAATGGCAATGAGGTGCCAAATGGAAAACCGGCGTTAGGTTTAATCCAGAAAATGAGAAGTCACCACCAGCAAATACAGGTGACGAAGAAACAAAATCAGAACCGGGTTGTGCCGGTAACATTGAGACAGGTGGTAAATCCCGTTGCTAGTTGGCCAAACTACCATTAGTTATGTTTGAATTCATGGTCTGTAAAGGAACACCAGACGATGGTGAAAACACGTGTGTACTGGGATGCATGTTGTTAACTAAGAAGGAAACAGGTGGAACAGAAGCTTGCATTGGCAAAAGGCTTGCACTACCAAATTGAGGCATAGCCCGATGTTGATGACTGTAGATTCCAGGGTCACTCAATACTGTGTGCCCATGATTATGACCATTACTTGGGTTAATTGCATGAACGAGGCTGGTGGAATTTGTCGGATCTGACGAAATTGGTAGACGAGTGAAGTCCAGCAAACCTAGCGCACTAGCACTGTCAGGAGGTGCCTGTGAACTAACAGAGTCTACCCAAGCATTAGTTCGATCGAATAAAACTTTTGATATGGACTGAATTACTCTTGTCGAGTTACTTTCCTCTGCATTCTCGTTAACCTCAGATGAGTTATCCTCAAGTTCGAAAGCTTCACTTCCATTTTAAATAATTGCTTTTTATCACTTGCAGCCAATTTCTTCAGATCCAGCTGACTTTAATTCAAACATAAGACGATTCTCTTGCTCTTTAAGCCCAATAAATACTTGATACTGCCTTTCCAGCTCCTCCTGGCGTCGTTTTACCAAAATTAACTCATGCCGTTTCTCACTTGACGACATAATGTGAACAGTTGACGTATGACGAGTGGAAGCAGATAAACCAGACTTATGCGACTCATGTTTTCTACTTTTTTAGCCTTATTAGAGACCTTAGACTTGTTTTCAGTTACTCTTGGTTCTGATCTGAATCTCTCATTTTGTGCGAGCGTGAGGATGTCTCAGACCTAGTTCCTTGTAAAGACAAAAAGCTCTTGCCCGAAAACAAAACAAAACAAAGTAAACTTAAAATTCCATAATACGTTTCAAAGAGTAGAAAAACAGCCGTTGCATAGTTTTCTCCCCATGAAAATTTTGCTTTTACAGTCCGAAAATTTTTGACTCTTTGACGAATTTGTTTTTACCGCCTGAAAGTTTTTGTTGCTTCAAACTTAACAAATTAGATAACAAACCTGCGATTAATCGTCAGTTAATTGAAGGGTTCGAATATGTCTAATTCGATCAATCATGGGCTAGTAGTTCCTTATAAAAGTCAAAGTTTCTGTAAACGCGCTGCAAAACAATCCAGCTCACAAGTCGTTTCAAAGTGAAGTGAGGCATACTAGTTGGTAGAAATTTTTGCATAGAAAAAGGCTTAGAAAATTGTTCAATTTTTTTTATCTTGTGTGTGCTAGTAGAAGTTCGCAAAATCTATTAAACATGCTCCAATTTATTTTTCAATTTGCATCAATTTCGCTCAACTAGATACAAGGCTTTCAAGGTTACGCCATGATACAAACAGTTTTATTAAAAATTAGGGGTTAAGAAACTCATCATGAGAAGGAGTTTCATGAGTTTTTCCATCGAATGGCTTAATTGCCAAAATAATATTTGGTTACAAAATTGATGAAACGTTCCGAAAAAAATAACATTTTTAAAAAGTATAGTTCTTTTTTTTCTTCATTCTCCGCGCTATTTCATGTAAAAAATTTACTTGATAGATTTTGCACGTAGCCATTTTTTGAAACAACCAAACTATTTGCCTCAATTCAATTCTGAGGCGGCTTGTTTCACCACTTCTGCTTTGTAGAACCCAGTATATCACGAGTTAGGTATCCCCAAATTCCAAGTGAACAAAATTTGAAGCTTTATAAATTTTTATCAAAGTATTGTGTAAAAATATCCTTCGAAAAAATATAGGTGAAAAAATGATGCTTGCCTGGATAAAAAACTAGATATATCCTAATGATTAGTTTTCACGCTATGTTACATTTAGTTATCCCTCTTTCCAGCAAAAGTTTCATTACAAATCAGCAAAATTTTTCACCCGGTTCAAAAAAGTTTTGTCAAAAACGTAAGGTACTAAAATTAATCTTTGTCTCGAGAAAAAAGTCGGAACTACAACTGGTGCATTGTTGTCAATGTTACTTTTTAGTTTTCCGTACTTTTCAGCAAATATGCGAATTAAAAACAAGAACTATTTTATCTAGAATTTTTTCAAAAACAGCTTCCATTTCCCAAGGGAATTAGACTAAATGAGTAGTATGTAAAATTATTTTTTAATTGGTTTTTACAGTTAGAAAAGTATTCGGTGCTAAAATTTGCCTTATCTTCAATTTCAGTGAATATCTTAAATGCTCTTTCAAAGACAAATTTTTCATAATGGCCACTTGAAGCCAAGATCAATTACTTCTTAAGAACCAAAAATAAGAAAGCCAATTTGCTCGCCTGAGAAAACAGCGGGATTTAAAAAGGTAGATCACGCTCTTCAAAATTGTGACTAACACACTTTTTATCATTTGCTTATGTCTTTAATGAGGGTTGGTGGAATTGAACAAATATTCTTTTTGACGCAATGTGCCTTCTTTTTCAGCCCATTTATGGAGTGTGTTTTCATGCCATGCAATTGAACATGAACTCTGACTGCGCTAATCGCCCATCACTCAAGAAATATTCTTTAAACAGTAAAATAAGCTTTATTTTTTTTACCAATTACAGAAAGAAGATATAGAAAAATTGCATAAAAATGCAAATTCATGTTCACTATTTTCACTAATTAGGCTGCAAAGCGCCTTCTTAGATTTGCTTAATTCTTTCGGTTTGGCAAATATAAAACAAATAGTTTTCAGGCTACCCTATGAAGAAACCGTTTGGATTGCTTCAGAGCAACATACCGATTCGCAGTTCATTCAATGACTCATAAAGAAGAAACAATTAAAACTCCCAGTTTCGATCATCATATGCGGATCATCTGAGAGGTCACATGTGATGCCAGGACTCTACAATAGATACACGCGAAAGCCTCTGCCCCTCAAATCAGTCGAGGCCAAGTCTGCCCTGAAAGGGCTTTCATTGAGTAAGTCAATCATCATTCTGACATGTTTTCACAAAACATTCAACTAATAGGTTGAACATTCAACTAATAGGTTGAAGAAAAAATCTTTCAAAATATTCAAATAGGTTTTAAAAAGCATCGAGAAATTCGTCTATATAAAACATACTTTAAAAAAAATCAGCTTCAAAAACTTTAAAGTCTAATTGAATATGGTACGTTAAAAAAGTGTAATCATTGAACTTCTTGAAACTATTTGAATGTCTCGAAATTTTTCTTCTGGAATCTTAGTGAAGAATAAAGTTTCAAATATAAAATAGTTTAACTTTCTTCTATTTTTTAAAAATACACTGGATATATTTCGGCCTTTTTATTGCTTCTTCAGTTTTTTGAAAGGCGTTTCATTGGTTATCCTAAAGGTCTAGGTTGACTAGATTTATTTCACCGGCGTTTTCTAACATAAAAATTATTCTTCTTCTGAAAGTTTCTAAACACCCCTTTTTTCTATTAGTTTACCAAATACAAGTTTAAAATACGTGGGATCAATTAAACCCCATCCCCTCCCCTCAGAAAGACCAAGTTACAATCTTTTCACAGAAGTTAAATTGGATTAAAATTAAATTTTAATCTGAATTAATTGCGCTCCATTTTAAGCGCTGCATGTTAAATGCTCGATCCTGATTGGCAGAAAATTCTCACTTAGAACCAAATTAGCATCCTCACCTTAATCTTGCTGTTTTTTGGGAGACGAGGGACATGATGTTAACTATGTCCAATGAGTACTTTTCTGACTTTTTATAAACATGAGCTAATTCGATGCTCAACGATGCTCAATAATGCTCAATTATGCTCGATAGTTGCAGTTTCAAAAACAAAGTTCGTCCGGTGTAAATGTTTTTTTTTCAAATTGCAGGCACAAATGTAAGCTTGGTGTATTCGAACGAGAGCACTCAGAACATAGATTGTATCTTTGTCCTCTTCCTGGGGGAGCACTCCGTACTCACCAACTTCGAAGCGACTGTCGGGGGTAGCCACGCGGAACTGAGTCTGTTCCTAGCCGAGAAACTAGAGCCAGACTATCTCTTCGAATGTGACGAGGTTAGTGAAGCCTCGGTTCTGCAGCGGGGCGACTTCATCGTCGACCAGCATCAGAATCACCAGTACTTCACGGGAAACATCGGTTGTCTGGGGCCGAACCGAGATGCCGAGTTGAAACTTGAACTGGCGACGCAATGTGACGTCACTGCCGACGGAGCTATTCGGTTTTACCTTCCTTCGGTTTGCACGCCTCGTTATATTCACAGACACAAAATGCAAGTGCCCTTGGATATCGAAAACACCCTGTCATTTTTCCTAAACCCAAGTGAAGAGTCGAATTCGTCAACCGGTCTGACAAAAGTGCCCAATTTATCAAACTTGGCACAAAAAACTGAACAAAACTTAATGCCCTACACTTTTGAGTTCACGCTGAAAGTGAATTCGCCGTGTTTGCTTTCGGGAGTTTTCAGCCCAAGTCACGAAATACGAGTTGACGCCGACTTACACGAGACAGACGCTCGGAATTGTATAATTACACTAGATGGTAGACACGAGTACTCGAGCGACATGGAAATCAATATATACCTCTCGCAGCCGAACGAGGCTTACTCGGTTGTCGAATCAGGAGACCTCGGCCGAGTCGAGTACGAGTCTATGGCGATGACTAGGTTCGAACAGCGAATGCGTCGCCGCGAACCGAGCGAACGGCGCTTCCCCAAAAACCCGTCGGATGTTTTGAAGCACACATTTCACAAAGACATCATGCACGTTCCATCTTGCATGATTAGCTTTACGCCTGACTTCGACAGCCTAATTGCCCATTACGACGTCAAAAATATCGAAACTTTTCTGTGCGAATATATTTTTGTAGTGAACAGGTCAAACTCAATGAGCGGAGCTTCTATTGCGAACTTACGCGAAACTCTTTCAATTTGCCTCAAGTCTTTGCCATCCTCTTGTCTGTTTAACTTTGTCGGTTATGGCTCGGTTTTCAAACGAATTTTTGACCACAGTAAACCCTTTATATCCGACTACGTCTGCGAGGCCAGTCGCTGGATCAAAAACATGCGTGCAGATATGGGAGGTCTGGACCTGTTTGCTCCCCTCGAGTGGATCTTCTCCTCTAATCCGAGATCGGGGGTAGTGAGACAGGTGATTGTGTTCACAGATGGTCCCGTCAACAACACCCACCAAGTACTGGAGCTGATCAGAAATAATGTGCACAACTCAAGGTTCGTCTTGTCTCACGTCCCTAGTCCCACACTTAGCAGCGTTTCGAGGGGGAGGGGGGACGACCACTCCCCCCCCCCTCATTTCTGGTTATAGTAATTCGGAAAGCTCGGAACATTAAATTGATCAGCCAAAAAAAGTCTAGTTTTTCATTTTTTTTCTACTTTCGCCGTGTGTTCGCCATTCTTGTTTTAGCTTCAGCGAGATTTCAGGCCCTAAGTCGGCGCGACTATGGTTTTTTGGATGACGTGAGATAATTTTTTAAAAATTTATTGGACAATGTTTGATCTTGAGAAATAGAAAAAGCGTTTGAAACTCATAAACACAAAAATCACGCTGATACTCGAAATCAGAATGCTCAAGTGATGAAAGCAATATTTTTAAATGGTGGCTTTAAACATTTCTTGAATTCAACTTTTAACTGTATTTCGATTATTTGAGCCCACACCATAGTTTCATGGATAAAATGATTATAATGGTAGAATGTTGTCATTAAAATCCATTATTATTGCTTATTTAGACCATGAAGACAATTATATAGTCATTATAATCGATTAGTAAAAACACAATCCATTAAAATCCATTATAAATGATTAGCATTCATTTGAAATCCATTATACTTGACTATAATGGATTAAATTCACTATACTTTTTGCAAATTTTTTTTGCAAAACTTTCCACAACTTCCAACAACTATACATACGGCCAACTCGAAATCTGAACCTAATCATTTTTATATAAAATGCGAGTTTAAACCTACCCCCTCCCCTATCCGTTCACGTGTTCAAATACCCGCCCCTGTTTACCGTTGTCATCTATACCCCACGTTTACCCACTATATTACCGCTCTTACATTCACCCCAGCCCCTGTGATTACTACTCAAACCAACCCCCCCCCTCCACCGTGCGCCTCTCCGTAAATGTGGAAAAGTTTCGTAAACGGCGGGGGAGTGAGTGTAAAAGGGGATGATTTTAAATGGGCGGGGATGTCAACAAGGAGGTGTAGCGGGACCGAGGGATGTAACTGGGGGGGGGGGGGGGGGGTGGGGTTGTTTCATATGCTGAAGGGCCAAAAAGGATGTAGGGATGTAAAATGGATTAGGGAGAGTTAAAAAAGATCAGCAAAAAAATGAGAAACTAAAATATTTATGAGAACTCGTTCTATCTGATGTGACGTGCATCAAGCCAAAAACAACAGATAAGTTTTGAAAGTACTGAAATGCGTTTAAAATTTTCATAATAATGTACTCAAAAAAATATTATAATCCAGTATAATTGATAATAATCAATAAAAATTGATTTTTATATTTGACAAAACTTAAGATCTTAATCCATTTATAATTGATTATAAATAAGCAATTATTTTTAATTTTATGGAGACTTGAAATGAAAGTCCAATAGAACCGATTTATGATCCATGAAACTCTAGTTCGGGCTGCACGTGGACTTCAATGTTTTTTTTAAAGTGTTTTTTTTGAGTTTGTCTGTTTTGATCTGCTTATAAATCACATCAAATTTCAGGAAATTCAGTGTTCTGTTTTTCATGGCAAGCTTTCCTAATTTCTATGTGAACAGTTTGATTCGATGTCAATTATTGCAACTGGTTCATAACAAAATGCAATAAAAACTTCACCGAAGCAAACATTTCGCTTTTGTTGCAGGGTGTTTTCAGTTGGCATCGGGATGAAAGCGGACGTGGAACTAGTGCGGGGTCTGGCCACAGCCGGAAACGGACACTACTGCTCAGTTCTGAGAGAAGACCGCATGCAAACCAAGGTATACTTTCATTAGTGACCTCTTAGATAGTATAAGTCATTTTTTTTGCGTGCCGACATTTTTAGGTGCGGACGTAATTTGAGCAACAAATTTTTTTTGTTCAAAAAAAATATCTTCAGCTGTGAGTCTCAAGCATTGAACTTAGACAAAGACAACTTAGTGAACAGATAGGGCAGTAGGCAGACAAACTTTTCGAGTTCAACGAATAAGGTGATTTTTTCCTAACAAAAACTACCATATAAACCCTTGGACAATTTTAAACAACCAACTTTGTTCACTACAACGTTTATTTTACCCTCTGACGCAGTAGCGAATTAAGGAGGGGGGAGGGTTAAGATATCTATTTTCTATTTACTATTTTAAGATATACATTTCTGGCTATCCGAACCTAAATTTGTTCTGAAGGCGCCCCTACAGCGCCTCTCTACACTAAATTTGAGGAGCGAGCTTGCGCAGAAGAAACCAAATTTTTTGGTCAAAACCAGAGTTGGAACCGGGCCCGGATTTGAGGCCCGGGCCTGTTTTTGATGAAAACAGGAATTTCCAAACAAAAAGTTAATTGAAATTCAAATGTGAATTTAAAAAAATTTAATAAGACCATTGGCTGCAGCCGATCCTAGCAGTTCAATTTGGCTGAATTCTTGAATCGCTGCTCAGCTGTGTCTGACTCCGGAACAAAAGAGAAGTTCTTGAAGCTTGAAAGTTGTTAACAGAAGCGTGGAAGGTGTGAACTCTTTTGAAAGTCAGGCCTGGGCCCGGCCCAGCCCGGTTGCTGGTCCTAAAAATGAGGCCCTTAAAAAGCCGAAGCCCGGTTCGAACTCGAAGTTCGTGTATTAAAAAGTTGAATCGCGAGTCGACCGAAAAAAAAACTCAATAATTCATGCATACATTCCATCAACTGTCCCTCAAAACACAAATAAACTGTTGCAATCTGCTCTTTTTACACTATTTAATTCAATACTAGCCTTTCAAAAACTCAGATATCACTAAAATCAATCTTTCGTTTGATTAAATATCAGCTGTACCTGAAATATTGAAAAGCTGCGATAAAATGACATAGAATCTTAGTCTAAATTTTGACGAAAAAAGGACAATTTTTTGCGCTCGCCAACTGGTTCCCGAGGTGCTCACAAGGTGTGAGTTTTATACCAAAAGCAGGTCTTCAAAAAGCTTTTGAGGACTTCTGGGAAAAACTTATGAAAGAAAAACAAAATTTAATAATTGCAAAAATCATCTACCTGAAAGTTTATTTGACAAGTTTGAAACTGTTATTGTGGGAGTTTCAGGTTATGCAGCTCCTGAAGATAGCAATGAGTCCAGTTCTGTCCGACATCAAGATTGAATGGTCCCTGCCTGAAGAGTACGAAGTGATTCAGACCCCCCAAGAACACGCTGCCTGCTTTATGGGGGGCACAATTACCACATTCGGCCTCATTTTTCCCCGCTTTTCATTCGACCACATGGGCCCTGAGTTTACTAATCTATGCCATCAGTCGCAGTACCCGTTTCCAAATCGGTTCCCAGAACGAGGCACTGCCAATTTCTTCTCGGTCGGAACTATGGACAGTGACCACTCAATGTCCTTTGAAGGCGCGGGAGGTTCACGACAGGCTTCCATGGACAAAATGCCTTCACCGGAGGAGCAAAGTAGAAACCACCAACATAGTCGCCAACTTCAGTTCCGACACACGAAGTTCAACTCAGTGACGGGACCCCAACAAGTTCACCAACCGTCGAGCCTGATGAAACAAGCTTTATCCTCCTCGCATCAGAGTCAAACTCAAAGTCAAACTTTAGACGGCCAAGGTCAAAACCAAGGTCAAGTACCCAACTACAGTTACACATATCGCCGTGTGGGAAGAGGTCGCAACCGAGGATGCTTTTCGGGTGCCACTGTTGCATCGAGTCGCGAAGGGAGTCGCGACAGCCGAGACGACGACTCGGGCTACGGAAACGAAATGGTAAGTCACAAGTCTTAAGAGACATGTAGTTTGTTTCACTAGCAAGCGATATATCACAAGTGTTATATACTCGCCTTTATATTTTTTATTAAAAAATATCTGCGTGGAGAAAAATTGTTCGTCAGTACTGACTAGGTTGCAGAAGGTATAGATCGTTTAAGACCCTGAAAATTACAAATAATCACTCCCCAAAATTTCGGCTTCCATTTTTTGCTAAGATGCATTTTAAGATGAAATTTTTTAATTTCTAAAATATGATTTTTTTCTAACTTCAATTTTTTCTAAAACTAAAACTTCAATTTTTTTTAGTTTAGGGGGGGGGGGGGAGTATTATAGAAAGAAAAAGAGAAAAAGAGTCGAAACAATTACACACACATGCTAGCGCAAACTCCACCCCCACGGATTATTCAAATGAGTTCCACAGCTTTCTCACATAAAGCTCAGAATGTTTCTTATCACGATAACAGATTTTTTGTCACGTCTAAAATTTCTGTAAATTTCTTATGGTCAATGTTTCAGAACTTCTTTGTAGAAGACTAATTACGAAGCATATATTTAGAACAAGTTTTTCCGCTCTGATCTAACAAACGAGCTACGATTACTCTAGAGGTAAAGATTTTTTAGTTATTTTTTGGTGATTAAAAATGCTTGTGATGTGAACAGTTGATTCCTTCTTGTAGATATTGGCTCTCTTTTTCAAAAATATGGTCATTATAGCCAAGTCGCTGAGATCGATAAATTGCGTAAGATCGATAAGTTAACTAATCCCAATATTTAACTATTAAAAAAACTGTATAATTTTGATTCAAATAAAGGTTACGAGTGAGGCAACAAGAAGCAAATAAAATTATCAGTTTTCTTTAAAATTTTTTTAAACTAAAAGAACTGACCCAAGCACTTCATTGACTCAAGCACTTCAATTTAATTTCCAAATGCTGCTTAAAAAACTCCAAAAACAACTTTACTCAAGTAAAACTAAAATTTCACGGCCTAAAGTAGGCAAAAATAAGCTATTTTAAGCCTGTACACGCACTATAATATTTCAAAATTAGATCAACAATCAATGCCGAGAATATAAAACAGTTTTTCTCAATACTAGGACAATTTTTTGGAAATTTTTGGAAGATCAATTCACGACTGAAAGGACTTTAATGTGATAGATCACTTGAAGCATAAGCAAAATTATTTGTTGTTCCCTATTTTACGTGGAGTTCCTCCTTATTTTCCAAATGGTCGGAACAACAAGACTGCTCGTATCAGAACGACGACGCCGTGATTGTTCCGACTGCCACTTTAAATCTTTAGAAAAGAGTTCGACATAAACTGATGATTTCATTTGAAGCTATGACCCCACAAGCTATTTGAGGGAAGCAATGATATATTTAAGACATAGTAACGTGTTAATCATAACAACAAGCATACCTCAGTTCAATTTGCAAGGATAACTGAGCAGTACTAAATTGCCGCATACAAGTTGCTAGGACAAACTACATTGCTCGTTAATTATCAAATTGGCCCAATATTTTTGGCATATTTCAAATCCGTATAGCTTTGCAAAAAATGATTACCAGTATAATAATTATTTATTAAGTTTTAGCTCAGGAATCAGTAGCTTTTGATAGTATAAAAAAGTTTTGTCACCAACAACTAGTTAAAAAGTTGACATTTGTCTGGATTAAAAAAAAACACCTCAAATACAAATAATCTGTCACTTTTTTCGAACGCATGAGCAAAAAAGTATCAAGAAAAAATAAAGTGTCTAAAAGAAAAGATTTGTTTTTAAATGCCACATAATTTTAAAAAAATCTGATTAGTGAACTGTGCGCCAGTCAACTTATTTTTCAGATATGGAATGCGGGCGCGTTCTACTAAAAAGAGTATCAACAGAAACAGGACAGCGGGCAATCAAGACAAGGCACTGAAGGATCCGTCTGTCCTTTAAGGAGTCTCGGATATTTTTTGATGAATGAAAAATACAAGCAACGTTGAGTTTTTAGCTGATAATGTCAAATACAAGGTGCGAACGTTTGGTTCATAAATTGATTGAATACGCCCACTCATCTGCCTCAAATCAAATTGGAACAATTTTATTGCGCGGGGAAAACTCGCCGCGCATAAGTAATTCACGTTACACTTTCAGGAACTATTTGTAAAAACAAACAGTTTAGTAAGACGCCTGTAGGAGCAACTTTAGTTACAGGTAACTGTAGTGTGCGCACGCGAAGATTCAGGGATCGATCCGCCTACTCAGCAAATTTCCAATAGTAAATTGGTATGAATTCAAAAAATACCCGAAGCATAAATTTTCCTCATTTTCTTTGAATGTCGGAACAAACAAGCTTCTATGTTGTGGATTCCTCTGCTACTGTATAAAAACGATCATACAAAATCGTTAAAATTGATATAAACCGACTTAAATTGATTTTATTGTTTTTAAAATCCGTAAGAAACTGAAGCCAAAAAAGTTGAAAAATTAGTATTTAAATCGATTTGAATTTGACTGAAATTGATTTTCCAAGCTTTGTTTTTGTACAAACTAAATCGATTTGAAATCGATTCAAATAGACTTTTTCAGTTGTTTGCTACATTATCTTTATAAAATTGATTGCAATCCGTTTCGCGTCAGTACAGGATTGGCAGTTCAAATATTGGCAGTTTATAGTTAATCAAAAAATATATAACTAAAAACTTTCGAATCCGAATAAAGGATATTCAGGGTTTTGCTATAAGTCGTTTCGTATATAAATTTTCTTAGGTGCTCACATCATAGTATAGCTTGCAGTTAAGCTTGAAATTGGAAAAATTGAGTTCTTTTTATAACCCGTCGATATCAAAACGGAACTCACATTTGAACAAAATAGAGGGCAATTATTGTATCACCTGAAAACAATTTTCTTGACTATGCTTTATGGCTACTATGAAAGAAATTTAGTCAATATGCCTCGGGAAAATAATTCTCGGGAAGTTGTTTTTTGTTCGATTAGAAATATAAGACTTTTAGAAACTTAAATCAGGCTTCGAGCGTCATTATTTTTACAGTAGTGAAATGAAGTAAAAGTTAAATAAAAAAGGAGGGAATTAACAAAAGTGGAATTATAATTGAACACATTTAACGGCAAGTTACCAATTAACTTGAGGCCGCAAAGTGGGAGGCTGTATTGCTAATTCAGTCTAGCGCATCCTTTTTCGGGAAGCCATAAATTTATTTATATTTTTACAATCAGCTCAATCTTTATAAAAAAAGGAAGATGAAAATTATATCTTAAGCTTAAATGTAACAAATTTAAATGAAGGCGCTAAATTAGTTCAAGTAAGACACCTGAAAACGACTCGAAAAACAACTTTACTGAGCAAGAATGTAGTCGTGTACTAGAAATTTTAGCAGCGGAATCCAGAACATCTCATTATTGCGTTTTTGTTCCGACTTTCAAAGAAATTGAGAACTAAAATATGCTTTGGGTGTTTTTTTTATTTCAGACCAATTTTCAATAGAATACTTGCTGAGTAGACGGATCGATCCCTAGATCTTCTCATACCCAGTATGAGCGCAAACATGACTGCACCAGCCTGAAACTACGGTCGCTCCGACACGGGTCTCACCAAACTGCTCGTTTATAATATAGTTGCTGAAACTGTATCGCAAAACACTTATCCGCGGCGAGTTTTACCCGTAATACAAAATTGTTCCAAACTGAATTGAGGCAAAATGATTTGGCATGTCAAATCAAACTTTAACACATTGTATTTGGCCTTATCAGCGAACATTTCATTGTTAATTATCAATTGCATTTACCAAAATTTATCCGTGACTCGTTAAAGAACAGATGAAATTTTCCGGGGCTTGTCCTGATATGCTAGCTGTCTGTTTCCTTTGAACTATTTTAGTAGAATTCGCATTCGCATATCTGAAAAATAAGTCCGATTGGCGCAGAGTTCACGAATCAGATTTTAGTTTTAGTAAGTGGCATTCAGAAACAAATCATATCTTTTAGACAATACCGACTGATGAAAAAAAAGTTTTTTTTTCTGACATTTTTTCGAAAAAAGTGACGTAATAATTAAGCTTGGGGTGTTTTTTTTATCCAAGCTATCATCGATTTTTTAACTAGCTACTTTTGATAAGATTTTGTTTGATATCATTTGAAAACTACTAATTCCTTGAGCTCAAATTTCTAATAAATTTTTTCTTAGCGGTAATCAGTACTTGCAAAGTTATACGGGTTTGAAATATGATAATTAACGGGCAATTTACTTTGTCCTAATAACTCGTGAGCGGCGATTTATTACTGCTCAGATATCTTTCCAAATTGAACTCAGGCATGTATGTTGTTATGATGATTATGTTACAAAATTGTTAATATATCATTGCTTACTTTAAATAGCTTGTGGGGCAATAATTTCAAAAATCAATTTAAATCATCAGCTTAAGTCGAACTTTTTTGGGAAGACGTTAAGATGCTGTTGGTCAGTTTTTTGTAAATTATTTTAATCATGTTTGATAATTTAGTTTGCCGTTGCTTTTCTCGCTGAATTTATCAGAATCCGAAAAATACAGTTTATTTTTATTTGTTATTAGTGATATATTAGTTAACTAATTGATCTTACAGAAATTTATATGAACTTGGGTCTATAATTTGCCACTTATGCGCTGCGAACTATGGATTAGGAGGAAAAGGAGACAAAGCTCTCACAAAGTAGCTCAGCCTAATGGCTATAATGAACATTTTTTTTGCATTTCCCAAAAGGGTACCAACGTAACTGTTGACGTCAAAAACATTTTTAATCACAAAAAAATTAAAAACAGAAAAAACTTGCTCTAAATACAAGCTTTGAGTTTAGTTCAGAGAGATAAGAAACATTCGGAAGCTCCTTACATGAGGAAGCTAGGAAATTCGTTTGAAAAAGCACGGGGAGTGAGGTTTATAATAGCATGAGTGTAATTAATCCGAGTTTCGACGAAACTTACGGACTTTTTGTGCTCAGAGTGGTTCTTTTCTACCGACAAATTTCGGCTTTTTAACTAGGAAAATTTGACGAGATTTTCTTTCATGTCATGTAAATGTAAGGTTGTCCTGGTCTCAAAACTTTTTCTTTTGTGAATATTTTTTGTAAACTTATGGTGTTGCAAAGATGGCTAAAATACCCAGTTTTGGAAAATTAACGGGCAAATTCTTGTGCTATTAACGCTTAAGAAAACTACTTAACCCGTCTTAGAAATCGTTTCAAATTGATATGATGTTTGGTATTTGTTATATAATCAATATTTTGATTCAGGCGAATCTTATCACCTTGGACATTACAAAATGTATGGCGAGATAGTTTTCCAAAAAATAGTCTTTGAAAATGTTCATTTTTTTTCACTGAATTTTGAATCTGTTTTTTTTCAGCAATCACTACTGGTTAGAATTCAATTTTTTTTTTGCTGTGATAAGAGTAGTCGTGTTGTAATTGTAACTATAGTTGTAGAGTATGAGCTCACTTTTTGTTTATAGTCAGAACAAATAGCCCAGATTTAGTCAAAGTTTTTCTAAGGTTGGAAAAATAGCTTTTGAAAAGTTTTTTATTGAATTTGGGTTCAAGTGCCTAATGATAGACTAAACTTAGTAGTTTAACGTATCAAAAACGTTTATTCATTTTTCCCTGATTTTTTATAGAAAAATATCTTTTTCCCTTTCAAATTTTGTGTTTCATTCTTTTTATTATACAAATGAACCCTAATTGCTGGTGCTTTATTAGCATAAATGGAAACAAGTATCTTATAACGGAAATTTTGTTTTCATTGTGGGATTCAATTTTTTTCTGGAAACCATTACATTTTAAAATTGCTTGATAAAAATCTAAATTTTTGATAAAAAGTATGAACAAAGAGCGGGTAAAAAATAAGGAAAAACGGTCTGTCGTTTCTTTTTCCAATGTGAATCATGAAACTTTCAGTTTTCAATCTATGTTAACTTCAATCTAAGCTAATTTTGGATAGTTTTTTGAGTGAAGTGATCATTTAGCGAAAAATTCCCCTCAAAAATAACTCCAAATTAAGCTGAGACATGCAACTCAATCCAAATATTACGTTCATAGAGGTAGGTATATAGTTGAGACTTAATTTTGGGGAAGGAGGGCAATTTTCCGGACCTTTTTGGAACATTTTTTAGGCAAGCAAATTGACCCTCCGCGCTCTTCAAAAACATTATCAAAACTGTAATTTGGAAAAAAATAAGCACCATATACCTTCTCTTTTTCTGCATCATATTTTTCACTAAAAATGTTATGAAAACTATAAAAACACTATTTTGCGGTTATTCTGAGAGGAAATTCTGTCTCCTCGCTCTCATAAAAACCTGCTACTGTCTTTTTTTAGCAGCTCGTTGCGGTTTGGGAGAGGGGGTGGCAGATTTCTACCAAATCGTTCTAAAAAACAACCTCTGACCAATTTTTTTAAACTAAAAATTAGCTTTTTTGGCACTTGCTCCTTCTCATAAATAGTATATATTGGTGCCAAAGACGCCTTTCGAAAAATTTTAAGATCGTCAGCTAAAAAAGAATTTTGTCAAATAGTTGCAAAGAGGGGAACATTTGGGTTATTAGGGAGTCAAATCTCTGAGGTGAAAGCGTTCCCCCTCCCTAAATCTGCTACTGAACCACAGTGTTAGGGAAATGCTAATTAAGGAACTCCATATTAAGAAGATATGAATATTGAACAATGCGACAAATGGGGAAAATTCTAGTCAAACACTTCTGAAGTGTGACAAAAAGCTAGGAGTTGATTTTTTATGAGCTTCAAATTTTAGATGAGCTTCAATAAAACAAAAGGTGGAATTTTGTTCAGAGATAGAAAAACGTCTCAAAAAAATGCTCTAAAAAACAGTTTCGTAAGTAGTTCCTAAAATAGAAATGATTTTTTTTTTTTCAACTGAAACCTTTTTTTGTACACATTTTATAAATATAAATACAATATGAATCCGCAAAACAAATTTCCTTCTTAGAACTTTTTAGGTCGAGCCAATTAAGTAAGAAAGCTTTCTGAACGATGGAACTTTGCATTTTTTTTTAAACTTAACAAAAACTACTAAATTACGAGTCTGTTTTTTTCTGCTAGGTGCGACAGTCGTCCAAGACATCTTCGACCGGTTCGTTTAAGTACTCGGTTTTGCAGTCGGAACAGATGCGCAACGAAGGCCGAAGACGCCAGCGGAGACGAGATGAAAGTCTGTTTTACGAGATGCGAATGAGTGGCGGAGCTCTCGGCACCAGCAGACGAGCAATGCGAGTCCCTTTCGGCGAACAGAGCTCCTCCGAAATGTCCGGGTTAGTGCAGTCCTACATTTCGAAGAAACCGACTATATTGAGAAAGGCTTGATAGTTTTTCAAAGATCCTATCTATGTAATTCGCAGAAACCTCAATTAAAAATTACATTTTTTATAACTGAGTTTAATTGCAATCTGAGTTTCAAGTTAGTAATAGGCAAGAGTCAGTTTATAACGAGAACAACTATCAAAAAAGTTTGCGATCTACCTAACAATCGCCCTCCCATAAAAGTACAGTCATTTAGCACTATAGTTTTATATTGAAACTCGAATTTTGCTGCATTCTGATTGGTCGAAAATTCGACTTACTTAGCCTACTTAACGATTGCCCCTCCTTCTCCCGCCTTTCTTGAAAGGGGAAGGGGTAATTGTTAAACAGATCCAAAATTTGTTCTTGAAAATTTGGACGGGTTTAGGGAGACAGAAGACACATACGACCGGGTAGAGACGTGGGCTAACACTGGCTACGTCGACTGCTGCCCTCCCGCTGGAGTCTACAAAATGTCCCGTGGCTCCTCCCACTCCGGTGCCCCTCTGGTAAAGACCACCACCCGCAGCTGTTCACAATCTGGGGCGTCCCAGAGCAACACTGACTCGGCGGGTACTTCGGCGTCTATTGAGGAGACGACACCGAATGAGCCGGAAACCACGTGCAAAGCTACTGGTGCCAACATCACTGAAAGTACGATTAGCAGAGTCTTAGATGTAGAGAGTTGTTGCAAAAAAAAGAACAGACAGAGTCAATTAAAGAGAAAAATTGCCTATCTATTGAGTTTAGATGGGAGTTTAACTCATAGAGTAATTTCAGATAGGGTACACCGTCTGCTCGTCACGCTATCTTATTTTCGGCCGGATAGATTCGTGCAACTTCTTAGTCTAATACCGATCTTAATCTTACTCTTATATCTCCTAGTCTCAATAGATCTAGAGTATACTGGTTTTGTTACGAGTCGGTCTCTTGGAGAAAGCAACTAAGTTGTAAGTTAAATTCAAATTGCTCTGGTGCTGAAATAACAAGTAATTTCAGCACTTACAAATAAGTGGGTTGTTAGTTTGATGGAGTGTGATTGGTTAGTCTTTAATATTTTATAGGGATAAAATATCTAAATTATAACCAATAATAATATATAGTTTGGATCTGGTTCCACTATATCTGTCAATTTTTGCTTCCAAAGCTAAACTTCTTAGACAAATA